AGACCTCAGGTCAGGCGGGGCTACCCATTGAGTTTAAGTATATCAATAAACAGAGGAAAAGAAACTAACAAGGACTCCCTTAGTAACAGCAAGCGAACTGGGAAGAGCCCACCATGAAAATCAATCATCTTTGACATCCAAATTATAGTCTGGAGAAGCATCCTCAGTGGCGGATCGGACCCAAGTCCCCTGGAAGGGGGTGCCAGAGAGGGTGAGAGCCCCATCGTGTCCGGACCCTGTCGCACCACGAGGCGCTATTGGCGAGTCGGGTTATTTGGGAATGTATCCTCAATCAGGCGGTAAATTCCGTCCAAGGCTAAATACTGGCGAGAGACCGAGAGCAAACAAGTACCACGATGGAAAGATGAAAAGGACTTTGAAAAGAGAGTCAAAGAGTGCTTGAAATTTTTGGGAGGGAAGTGGATGGGGGTCGGCGGTATGTCTCGGTTTGATGTGGAACGGTGTTAGCTAGTCTGCCGATCGACTCGGGGCATTGACCGATGTGGATTGTGATGGTGGCCGAAGCTCGGGTTGTTGAAATGTTCATGGAGACTTCATCGTCACGATTGTGGATGGCAGCATGCGTCTTTGTGGCGTGCTTCGGCACTTTCATGCTCCGGGTATCGGCTTTTGGGCTCCCCATTCGGCCCGTCTTGAAACATGGACCAAGGAGTCTGACATGTGTGTGAGTCAATGTGTGAGTAAACATGTATGGTGCAAGGAAGCTGATTGGCAGGATCCCCTTGTGGGTTGCACCATCGACTGACCCTGATCTTCTGCGAAGGGTTCGAGTGAGAGCATACCTGTCGGGACCCAAAAGATGGTGAACTATGCCTGAGCGGGGCAAAGCCAGAGGAAACTCTGGTGGAGGCTCGCAGCGATACTAAAATGCAAATCATTCGACTGACTTGGGTATAAGGGCAAAAGACTAATCGAATCTTCTAGTAGCTGGTTCCCTATGAAGTTTCCCTTAGGATAGCTGGAGCCTACGGGCGAGTTCTATCGAGTAAAGCCAATGATTAGAGGCATCGGGGGCGCAACGCCCTCGACCTATTCTCAAACTTTAAATAGGTAGGACGGTGTGGCTGCTTTGTTGAGCCACTCCATGGAATCGAGAGCTCCAAGTGGGCCATTTTTGGTAAGCAGAACTGGCGATGCGGGATGAACCGGAAGCTGGGTTACGGTGCCCAACTGTGCACTAACCTAGACTCCACAAAGGGTTTTGGTCGATTAAGACAGCAGGACGGTGGTCATGGAAGTCGAAATCCACTAAGCAGTGTGTAACAACTCACTTGCCGAATCAACTAGCCCCGAAAATGGATGGCGCTAAAGCGCGCGACCTATACCCGGCGTTCGAGGCAAGAGCCAAGCCTCGATGAGTAGGAAGGCGCCGCGATCATTGTAAAACCCGGGGCCGAAGAGGGGAAAGGTTCCATGAGAACGACACTTGCACATGGGTTAGTCGATCCTAAGGGACGGGGGAAGCCCATTTGATAGCGCTCTAAGCGCGTACTTTGAAAAGGAATCGGGTTAAAATTCCTTAATCGGGACGTGGCGGCTGACGACAACGTTAGGGAGTCTAGAGACGTTGACGGGGGCCCCGAAAAGAGTTATCTTTTTTGTTTAACAGCCTACCCACCCTGGAAACGGCTCAGCCAGAGGTAGGGTCTAGCAGCTGGAAGAGCACCACACGTTACATGGTGTCCGGTGCACCCCCGGTGACCCCTTAAAATCTGAAGGGCCGAGTGCCTCCCATACTCGGTCGTACTTATAACCGCATCAGGTCTCCAAGGTGAATAGCCTCTGGTTGATGGAACAATGTAAGCAAGGGAAGTCAGCAAAATGGATCCGTAACCTCGGGAAAAGGATTGGCTTGAGGGGTGGGCACGAGGGTCCCAGTCCTGAACTCGTTAGTTGTCGATGGACTGCTCGAGCTGCTTTTGCGACGAGAGCGGGTCGTCGCGTCTCGATCAGGGGACGGATTAGGAACGGGCCTTTCTGGGCCTCTTCCCCGGGCGTCGAACAGTCGAATAAAAATTGGTACGGACAAGGGGAATCCAACTATTTAATTAAAACAAAGCATTGCGATGCTCCTTGCGGATGTTGACGCAATGTGATTTCTTCCTAGTTCTTTGAATGTCAAAGTGAAGAAATTCAACCAAGCGCGGGTAAATGTCAGGAGTAACTATGACTCTCTTAAGGTAGCCAAATGCCTCGTCATCGAATTAGTCACACGCATGAATGGATTAAGGAGATTCTCACTGTCCCTGTTTACTATCCAGCGAAACCACAGCCAAGGGAACGGGTTTGGCAGAATAAGCGGGGAAAGAAGACCCTGTTGAGCTTGAATCTAGTCCGACTTTGTGAAATGACTTGAAAGGTGTAGGATAAGTGGGAGCTGTAAACAAAGAAAGTGAAATACCACTACTTTTAACGTTATTTTACTTATTTCATGAATCGGAAGCGGGGCATTGCCCCTTTTTTTGGACCCAAGGCTGGCTTCGATTGGTCGATCTGAGCGGAAGACATTGTCAGTGAGGAATTTGGTTGGGGCGACACATCTGTTAAAAGATAACTCAGGTGTCCTAAGATGAGCTCAACGAGAAGAGAAATCTCGTGTGGAACAAAAGGGTAAAAGCTCGTTTGATTATGATTTCCAATATCAATATGAACCGTGAAAGTGTGGCCTATCGATCCTTTAGTCCTTCGAAATTTGAAGCTAGAGGTGTCAGAAAAGTTACCACAGGTATAACTGGCTTGTCGCAGCCAAGTGTTCATAGCGAAGTTGCTTTTTGATCCTTTGATGTCAGCTCTTCCTATCATTGTGTTGCATTTTTGGTATTACTAGCCATAAATCACACTAAAGTAGAGCACCCAACTATGGCAAGGCCCCTTAAGTAAGGGTTAGGTTAGTCAATCCGGCCTGAGACGCGTTCGTTGAAAAAACCGCCGTAGGAATCGAGACCTTTCAATAGAGAGAAGGCGAACTGATCAACCAGAAAGAGGCCCTACTCACTACAAACGAATACACCACAACATCGACCCTCTACGTAGTTCTTCTATCAATTATGTACGTAGGTAGGGTCCTCCGTTCTTATTGGTATATCATGAAAAAATCCATTTGCACCAGGTGCACTACGCTTTCCCTTGCCTAGATGTTCGCCTTTCTAAGTCAAGTAATGGTGACCCGCCGAAGACTAGAGCCTCAAAACATGTTGACGAAGACCTCTGAACGGAGGGTCCGGTCAGTAAAGGGGACGACTTTCCCTCCCTGTAGACCCCTAAAATTGTCCGGGTCGGAAA